TACTAACTGCATGTAGCAGTTCCCTTACCCTCAACCAGCTCAGCTATCCTTCAGCCAAAAACAACTGCCCTGTCAATGGCTGTGAGAGGGTGAACACTGGACTCCACCCCTGCTGCTTGCTGCCGTAAGTGGCAGATACATTTTTCTCTTAAGGGAAGCACCCCAATTCTGGAGGGCTCATTCTGGGGGGAAAAGGTACAGTTGGTATGCAAGTAAATATGGTATTTGGAACTAGGTGATCCTTTTCCATGTTGTTGTATAGTAAACTCTGGTTCTCTAGTTAATTTGTGACTCCAACAAAAATCCAAATACAGGCAAATTATCTAGTTGGAACCAACTACTGGGAGCTGATGATTGAAGGGGGTGCTGGCAGGGGAACTGCAAGAGGTGACAAATTAAACCACTGTGCTAAATTATTCTGTATGTTAATTAACATTCCAAAGAGCATTTTAAATGCTCCCAAGCAGCCATTATTTTCTAAAGAAAAAAAAGTAATGCATTTCCAGAGCTTTTAAAATACTTTCACTACCACACTTCATGAAATTAGTAAGATAAAATAGCCAATTAATATATAAACATGTAACATACTGATGATTATGTACATTTAAAATAAATCATTAACTCTTAGTTTTATTATACCCATTTTCCATTCTTAGCCTTACTTTTCACCTTCCCCCTTTCCTTTCATATGTCAAATAGATTTCCTTTTTTCCATGATCCCCTTACCTCACCATGTCTTCCCTACCTTATATCCTCTTTTCTTCCTTTACCTTCTTCCCCATGTTTCACCTCACCTTTTCACAATATTTTAGTATCAGTCTCCCTAAATCTCCTAGCAAAAGTATGGTATGTAAGTTCAAAGGGGAAAAACGACACTGTCACAACCTTCCTGCAAAAGGTTTAGAAAAAGTGGGGTTCCTTTAGGAAAAGAGGGGTTCATTCCCCAAGCTTTGGGATTCCTACTAGGGCACCATACTTGCATCCCTCCCAAGTCTTAACCTTCTAGTCTAACTAGCAGATGGACAAATAAATTTAGAACCCATATCAGTTCCCTCTTCACACACTAGACAGTCCTGAGTCTTCAAAATATTACTCTTACACCTTAGTCTAGAGTACTTACAGCTTTGCCAAGGTCATGTGGTAAATGGGCCCACTGAGAGTTGAAAAGGATACAGTAGTCCTTCCCTTTACTGCTCCCCTTTTCTGACAGAACATGTACCATGCCATATTCACAGTACACCTGAAAACACAAAACATTTATTTAACAACAATAAGTACAGGTCACTTCCATCATAACAGATCACAGACATACCACTCTTCCCCTCCGCCCCCCACCCAAAAAAGCCCATCAGAGAAGTAGAAAAAAATAGCTACTTGGTTTCTGTATCACTTATTTTTATACAGTGTCACATTTATATTTCTGGCTTACAGGGCTCATAAAACTTCTGAGGTAAAAAACACCTTCCCTGCAAAACGGTTTAGCTGACAACTGACAATGGCCAGCTAAACACCATCTGTCAATTCTGACGTGACCTATGGAATTTAATGTTTCTTTTATATAGCATTCTTTTGCAGGCAAGGTGCATTGATATCAGTACGATGGGATTCATACAGTACCCTGAGAGAGGCAAGCAAACAGTCAACAAGTTCTGTTTCAATTAGGGAACAGCAAGTTCTCTTAGGGCAGGCTTGTCCAACATGCGGCCCGCCAAGGCATTTTCTGAGGCCCGTGGTGCTGCGACGGGAAACAAAAGTAAACACTGTTTACTTTCGTTCCCACCCCTTGTCCCTCCCCCAGCCCCTCAGCAGCTTCCTAATGGCTGCTGAAGGACTGGGGAAGGGACTAGGTTCCCACATGCACCACTTCAGCTTGACGTTGCCGATGTGGCACGTGTGGGAAGAGGAGTAGCCATGTGCCTCTCAGGACAGGATGAGCCCAGCCGGACCAGCAGGGGCTCAGCTGCATTTTCCCCCTACACATGGCTCCACTGCCACTTCTGCTGGCCAGTGCAGACCCGGCCGGGCTTCTGCCATCCCCAGCAGCATGTTGCTCTGGATGGGATGGACCCAGCCGGGTCAGCACCAGCCAGTGCTGGTCCCAAGACAGGTCCCAAGATGGGGGAGCTTGCCAAAACTGGGTAAGTGGCCCTCTACCCAAAATAAGTGCCTGTGCCTACTGTACGCAAATGCATAGAGCCTGGGAAACAAGCAGAAGTCCTTGCACATTCACAAAACTATGACATGATTAGAATAACAGAGACTTGGAGCTCGCTCACATGACTGAAGCATTGCCATGGATGGGTACAAACTGTTCAGGAAGGACAGGCAGGGGAGACAAGGAGGAGTTGCACTTGATGTGACAGAGCCACATGACTGCTCAGAGCTCTGGTATGAACCTGGAGATTGGACTGTTGAGAGTCTCTGGCATAAGGTTACTGGTGAGAGCAACAGAAGGTGATGCCATGGTGGGGGCCTGCTATACACCAGCAGGCCAGAAGGAAGTGGTGGATGAGGCTTTCTTGAAACAGCTGGTGGAAGTTTCCCCAATCACGGGCCCTTGTTCTCATGGGGGACTTCAATCACCCTGATATCTGCTGGGAGGGCAATACAGCAGTGTGCAGACAATCCAGGAAGTTTTTGGTGAGTGTTGGGGACAATTTGCCAGTGCAAGTGCTGGAGCAACCAACTAGAGGCTGTACTGTTCTTGACCTGCTGCTCACATACTGGGAAGAATTAGTTGGGGAACGTAGTAGTGGATGGAAACTTGGGCAGCAGTGATCACGCAATGATTGAGTTCAGGATCTTGAGGGGAAAAAAAGGATAGAGAACAGCAGAGTAAGGACCCTGGACTTCAGAAGAAAATCAGACTTCAACTCACTCAGGGAACTCATGGGCAGGATCCCCTGGAAAGCCAGTCTTAGGGGGAGAAGAGTCCAGGAGAGCTGGCTATACTTTAAAGAAGCCTTACTGAGAGTGCAGGAAGAAGTCATCCAGATGTGCAGGAAGACTAGCAAGTATGGCAGAAGACCAGCTTGCTTTAGCAGGGAACTCTTCAGTAAACTAAATCATAAAAAGGAAGTTTATAACAAGTGGAACAAATAACTAGGGAAGAATACAAGAACATTGCTTGGGAATGAAGGCACGACGTCAGGAAGGCTAAAACACAATTGGAGTTGCAGGTAGCATGGGTAAGAAAGGTTTCTACAAGTATGCCAGTAGCAATTGGAGGATCAGGGAAAGTGTGGGTCACTTACTGAATGGTGGAGGCAACCTTGTGACAGAGGATGCAGAAAAGGCTTAAGTGATGAATGCCTTTTTTGCCTCAGTGTTTACAGGCAAGGTCAGGTCCCAGACTACTGCACCTGGCAGCAGCTTGGGAAGGAGGTGAGCAGCCTTCAGTGGTATAAGAATAGGTTAGGGACTATTCAGAAAAAGCTGCACATATACAGGTCCATGGGGCTGGATGTGATGCACCTGAGGGTAACAAAGGAGTTGGCAGATGCGACTGTAGAGCCATTGGCCATCATCTTTGAAAACTCATGGCAATTAAGTAAGGTCCCAAATGATTGGAAATATTGTGCCCGTACTTAAAGGGATAAAAGGAGGATCCAGGAAACTACAGACCAGTCAGCTTCACCTCAGTCCCTGGAAAAATCATGCATCAGATCCTCAAGGAATCTATTTCTAAGCACTTGGAGGAGAAAAAGGTGATTAGGAACAGTCAGCATGGATTTACCAGGGGCACATCATGCCTGACCAACCTGACTGCCTTCTATGAAGAGATGACTGGCTCTGTGGATGTGGTGCACTGTCATTTTAGCAAGGCTTTTAATAGACTTCCACAACATTCTCCCAGGCAAGCTAAGGAAGTATGGGCTGCATGAATGGACTGTAACATGGATAGAAAACTGGCTGCATCATTGGGCAGTAATCAATGGCTCAATGTCAGCTGGTATCATATGGAGTGCCCCAGGGGTCAGTCCTGGGGCCGGTTTTGTTCAATGTCTTCATCAACGACTTGGAATATGGCATAGAGCAAGGCAGGCAATTATTTCAGGTGGAGGGCCGCTTACCCAGTGTTGGCAAGCTATCGAGGGCCTCATGGGTAGCCCTGCACATTGACAGGTGCCCCATCCCCTGGTCACCACCTTGAGACCAATGTCCCAGGGCCAGCACCAGTGGGGCCCAAAGCGGGGCGCAGGCTGGCAGGGGTCTGTAGAGCTGGGCTGGGCTGCACCAGCAGGGAGAGTGGGGAGCTGGCCCAGCTCCATACAGCCCCTGCCAGCTGGGACCCTGTACTCCTGCTGCCCTGCTCTGGGCCCTGCTGGCACTGGCCCTGGGACACCGGTGTGGGCCCCATGCTCCTGCTGGCTCCCATACCTGCTCACTCCCAGTGCCCCCACAGCCCTGCGGTACAGGCGGGGGGCAGCACGCAGCCCCAACCCCCTGCTCATTGGCAGGGAACGAGCTGGTGCCGAGCACAGGGAAAAAGCAGCTCCTCCCCTGCCCTGTGGCCAGTGCCCCATGCTGCAGCTGCTTGCAGCCCATGCGGGGCTGTCCTGAGCAGGCACAGGCAGCCTCACATGGGCTGTGAGCGGCTGCAGTACAGGGTGCCGGCGGAGCTGCTTTTCCTTGTGCTCAGCACCAGCTTGTAACCCGCCGCCGCTGCCAGCCTGGAACCTGTGCTGGCGGCAGCAGCTACTCAGCGGGGAGGAAAGCACGCCCCCGCTTGCGGCGCTGGGCAGCATTTACTACTGTTGACCACCCAGGCGCAGGAGCATGGGGGCCACACTGGTGTCCCAGGGCCAGCACTGGCAGGAGCATGGGGTCTCAGCAGGCAGGGGCTCTATGGAGCTGGGCCAGCTCCCCCCTCTCCCTGCTGGTGCAGCCCCAAGGGAGAGGAGCTGAGGTGGCCCGGCCCCGAGGACTGAGGCAATGCCCACAGTCCTCTGCTGCTGCCCCCCCTCCCCTCCATCTTACCCAAGTTTCCTGCACTAGTGTAGCCATGAGGAGCCACATGGTCCCAGGCCAGAAGCCCCTGCTAGGCAGGGGCTTCTCGCTGGGAGGGGGCCAGGACAGGCAGGCCCTGCTGTCGCAGGAGCCTGCTGGGGCTTCCCCTGGGTCCTACTGCCCCTGGCTCCTGTCATCTTTGGCAGGAACCAGGGACAACTAAATATTAAATTTTCTAAATTTTTTTTTTTTTTTAGGGGCCCTGCAGGCCAGATAGAATGGCTTAGCGGGGTGCATCTGGCCCACGGGCTGCATTTTGCCCACCCCAGCATAGGATTATGGAGGATCAAGACCCTGTAGCACTACAGTGCACATGAATATGTTAAGCATAGAACACATAACGTAACAGTACAAAAGAGTTCCTTTTTAATTCAGGAATATTTCTGCATTGCTTCTGCCATTTAAAACAGAACCACCCACCCTAAATAGGTAGATAAATCCCATTCACCCACTCAGTCTAAATAAATCGATTCAGAACTTTTCCAACACCCAGGATACAAGGGTGCTTCCCCATGCAGTGGAGAAAACATGTCTTGTAAAACCTTTATAAAGGAGTTCTGAGGAATATCAAAATGCTTTTGTCCGTAAGTTAATCACCACCGACAGACTTGACCTCAAACATTCATGATTCTTTACTAATTTCTTGGACAGTTCAGCACAACTGTTAACATCAGATTCATTACCAAAAGCACAGCCAGAACATTTATAGCAATTTGGCTCCTGGTTTCTTTCTGCATACGTAAAATATCCAATAGCAACAGTTTTTGTGCTAGCTACATTGCTTTGATTGGATCTGCTATCAATTATATCAATAATATGACATAATATAAGCAATATGCACTGTTTCTTAAAGCCTGAAATGATGCTTTTGATTTTTGATTAAATATATTTACTAGATTTATATCCCACTCCATCCAAATGGCACAGAGCAGCATAAAATAAACGATACACAGAGGGGACTCCCCAAACAGGAACCTCCAAACCCAAGAATTCCTACTTCCCCACACTTTCCCCCAACCACTGTCTCTCTGCTCAAACCCCAACACAAGCAAACCTTACCACCAGTCCTAACCACACTACCCAACTGCCAGTTTTATTGTTACAAGAAGGCTTATCTCACCCCATCCCCTACTCCCAAGACCTTTCCCCAAAGCCCACAGGCCCCTTCCTGCAGAGGGGCTGCTGCTCTGACCCCTCCCTGCCACAACTCCCTCTTCTTCCAATAAACGC